GGTTCGGCCATGTAGTGAGGGAAGGCGAAGAATCGTCCTCTTTCCAAGCCCTCCTAATGTCGATCAACACAACAGACATACGACGACCCCGAGGACGGCCACGTCTGAGATGGATCGACGTTGTCAAGAAAGACTTACAATGCATTAATCTGTCGCTTCTGGATGCTGTGCAATCTGCTTCTGATAGAGCTGCTTGGCTCGAAATTGTTAACAGATGCGTTGACCTCATGCAATGAGTGAAATGCGAACTGTCATTATTATTATTATTATTATTATTATTATTATGATAAAATTGCTTGTAAGAATAAATGTGCACTTGAAACCCATGTTATGATCATGAAAACATGAGAGTTCATTCTTGTAGGCAGTACATGTATATTCTTTTACACGACCATGCTATAACCGATACGCACTGTACTTGTTGTTGTGTATTGTGTGTAATCCATTATACTGTGTGTTAATATCTCCATAACATCAGCCTCTCTTGTATGTAGATACTCTTCTTCATTGCCAGCAAGCAGATTTCTTTCTCCATAGTGTAATGTGTGTGTGTGTGTGTGTATGGGTATGTGTGCGTGTGTGTATGTGTGTGTGTGTGTGTGTGTACGTGTGTGTGTGTGTGTGTGTGCGCGCGCGCGTGCGCGTGCATGCGTATGTGTGTGCATGTGTATGCATGTGTATGTGTGTGTATGTATGTGTGTATGTGTATGTGTATGTGTATGTGTGTGTATGTGTGTATGTGTGTATGTGTGTGTATGTGTGTGTGTATGTGTGTGGGTGTGTGTATGTATGTGTGTGTATGTGTGTTGAATGTTACTGCTACCGCATGTACTATTCTGTTCTATTGTAGAGAACGTATCCGATGATGATGTCGATGAAGAGTCTTGCTTACTCGCTGGGAAAGTTCCTGGAAATGCTCTTCTACGCCAACGCTAGCAATGGTGATGACCGTGAAAAGCAGCAGAGTGCTGATGACAATGACTATGCTCCTGCTAGTGCTCACAGTGGCGCATCAGATTGTAAATGTAAACACACCGCCTTTCATGACAGTGTGCTGTATTTTGGATGCAAGGATCAAGTAGCTATTTTTGAGTAAGTTTCTATGTCGAACCAATAGTAATTTAAAAGCTGAGAGAAAGGACCAATGAATAGGAATAGCACGAGTAGTGGCAATCCATCAATTGATTCAGGTTATGAACTGTTCACATGTGAAGATGTATTCTAGTGAGATATTAGCCTCATACCCATTGATCCACTCTCTTCTTTTGAAGGAGTGGTATTATTACCATGTATAGGATATATGCCAAGGCTCAGGTTTTTATAGGGAATAAAACCTGTATAAAAACTGAACGGCAGCTGAGATTTTTATAACTTGTTTTTTTTCCAGAGTCCTCCATTCTTTTTCCACTGACGTTGTTGTTCAGAACAACGAAACGTCTGGAAAAGTATCTTAAAAATATCTCGGTCTAAAAAGGATTTTATCTGGTTGTTATTGCCTATGTTAGGTTCACGATTTCACATATGTACGCACTCGCACCCTTGAACTCACCTTTACAGGCGCGCACTCACTTTCACTCTCGTACTCACCTTTTCAGGCGCGCACTCACTTTCACTCTCGTACTCACCTTTACAGGCGCGCACTCACTTTCACTCTCGTACTCACCTTTACAGGCGCGAACTCACCTTTTCGGGCGCGCACTCACTTTCACTCTCGTACTCACCTTTGGTCTTAATCTCAGGGTCGTGGGTTCGAGCCCCACGTTGGGTGCCAATGTTAAGATCAGGCACAGTCACAATGGGACGAGCGGATCAAGTCGACAACGACAAGGAATCTCAGAGGTTCGGTAGAGGATAAGGTAAGGCAAGCAAGACAAGGCAAGGCAAGCAAGACAAGGCTAGACAAGGCTAGAAGGGGGCCGAGCAAATGTTCCAGCAAGAGCTTATCTAGGGCCTGGGTAGCTATGGAGATAAATGTGCTATAGCGCGAGTCCAGCTACCCAGGCCAAAGAAAGAAAAGATTAGGAAAAGCAACAAAGGTGAGTACGAGGCTGTGAAGGTGAGTACGTCGAGTGCGCGCCTGAAAAGGTGAGTGCGAGAGTGAATGTGAGTGCGCGCCCGAAAAGGTGAGTTCGCGCCTGTAAAGGTGAATACGAGAGTAAAGGTAAGTTCGCGCCTGAAAAGGTGAGAACGAGAGTGAAATTGAGTGCGCGCCCGAAAAGGTGAGTTCGCGCCTGTAAAGGTGAGTACGAGAGTGAAAGTGAGTGCGCGCCTGTAAGGCGCCGGTCACACATGCAGGCGGCGACACCGCTTTTGCGGCTGCCTCCAACACGCTGGCAGTGGGCGCTTTTGCGGCTCTTTTCTGCTGGCGGTCACACATGCAAAGTCTTTGGTACGCACGCAGCTTCACGGGTCTCCACAGGTGTCGTAAAACTTTTCTCTGAAAAAGACTGTAGCCTCAAAATTCCTTTCCTGCGCTGGTATGGATCGCAGAAACGCCCGGAATCGCCGACTACGTCGTGACCAGCGACTGCGGAGAGCTATGGAGATTGCCTCAATATTCATGTTGTTCAATTTCTCTTCGTTTGAATCTTGCGGAAGCTCCTTGAGCATCGGTGGACGCCTGAGTCGAGTCCCATGTCGGATGGTTGACCTCGAAATAGAGGTAGAGGAGCAGTTGCTCTTGGTCAGCAGTCCACTTCATGACGAGAGATGAAAAACTAATTTGTCCAAGATCCAAGAGATCCAACAACGACAACGCCGCAAAAGTTGCACTACCGCTTTTGTGTTTCGCCACCAATTTTTTGGTTGTGGCGCTTTTGAGATTGCCGCCGTGGCGCCAGTGGCGCCAGGCGCAGTATCCATGGTGATCCGGGGATATCCCAACTTTTGTGGTGCAGCTTTGGTGGTGTCGCAAAAGCGCCATGCATGTGTGACCGGCGCCTAAAGGTGAGTTCGAGGGTGCGAGTGCGTACGAGTGTGCGAGTGCGTGCATATGTGAAATCGTGAACCTAACATACCACCCCTGCTTGAAAAAGACTCCGCGTCCACGTGGAGAAAAGGAAGGGGGAAAATTGCAAATAGCTCGAATATACAGACATTAATTTTATGGGACAACAAAAAATTTAAATTGACCTGCGAATAATTGCTGAGGGAACAAGGAAAATAGTTAAAACAGTAGTAAGGGGCCGTCCAAGGTTACCAATAATATTTTCAAAACGAAAAGTTTTCGTTTGGGGGTGGGTGGGTTTGATGGAGTTTCGTTTCGAAAATAATTATTGAATGCAGGTGGAGAATGTCTAGTTACTTCTGGGTGTCGAAAATTGACATCAATATTTTATTGGAATTCATTTTACCTGCAGAAAAGATGGGTGGGTGGGTGAGGGCTGAAAGATACTAAAACTTTTCGTTTTGAAACAATCGGTAACCCCGGACGGCCCCTAAACACAATCGTGAATGTAATCAATATTTTAAGATGCATACAATGTCGTAAATCTTGAGGCGATCTAAGAATAACGATAAGGACGAAGACGAGGAAACGACAGGCACCCCGGAAGACAACTTCCGAAGCGCCTGCCCGCACACGCAACACCAAGGAAAAGGACGACGACAACGAAACGACAGGCACCCCGGAAGAAGACAACTTCCGAGGCGCCTGCCCGCACACGCAACACCAAGGAAAAAGACAACGACGAAGAAACGACATGCACCCCTGAAGACAACTTCCGAAGCGCCTGTCCGCACACGCAACACCAAGGAAAAAGGACAACGACAAAGAAACGACAGGCACCCCGGAAGACAACAACTTCCGAAGCGCCTGCCCGCACATTCAACACGTCCACACACATATACGCAAACAAAACACAGGCATAACGGTGGACAACAAAGGTACAGGCGAGCGCGTGGCGTGGCGAAATCTGTCGAAATGCGGGCTGTATACTAGAAACAAAAACAGGAATATCAGTAGGCGTTAAACAGTAAGGGAATAAGCAAACGCATGGCGAGGCGAACTCCGTCGATCTGCGAGGAAGCGACAAAGAATTATTCGTACACGAGACAATCCTCAGTTGCACATTCGCTCAGAAAAGAGTAAACGCGCGAGCAACATCATCGGGACAAACGGACTAAGACCCACAAGACAGAAAAACCGCACGCGCAAATGATACAACCCGCAAGTTCAAAAATAGAAAAAAAGAAGAAAAGAAACGCACCCACAAAACAACAACAACAACAACAACAACAACAACAACAACAACAACAACAACGCACACACAACATGGCAAGGGAAACACAATGGCTACAAGTCGGCACAAAAAACGATTAGGACAACATTAGACAGACAATCAGGACCAGGACATCACCAGACAAACCAACGGGGGGAGTGGTCATAAACCGGACCCCGACGAGGAAACACATGACGAGGACGACGATTGGGTGGAGGGCCAGTCCAGTGACGGTACGGCGCGTGGCGGGGCATGGTCGGCATAGTAAGGCGGTGCGGTGGCAGAACGTCGGCGTCAAAGTATCGGTGTCTCGTCGGGCGTATCGTTCGTGGTCGTTGTCGAGGCTGCGGGCGTGGTCGTTGTCGAGGTTGCGGGCGTGGTCGTCGGAGCGGTGGTCGGTATGTGCGGATGTTCAGGCGATGGCGAATAGCCGTTATTAATTCCTCTGCTGATGGAGGGCGCGGTGGGATGATAAGGTGGCGACGCGCGGCGTCCAGGCGTGCCGACCTGATTATTCCGGGCGTCGGTGGTTGAGACGGAAGCACGGGCGTCCGCGGCGACGGTGCTTGCCGCACCCAGTCCTGAAATTCCGGCGGCGACCCCCATGGTGATATATTCCATGGCTCCAGCATGGCGCAGTTCGGATGCGGCGGCGGTGTTTGGGGCGGAGGCGGAGGCGACGAGGGCGGTGAATTCGGCGGGAGCGGAATTAAGAGGGCTGCTGCCATTTCCTCGTCAGGCGAAAGAGACATACTCGCTATAATGGTGATGAGTGAAGCCCCACACCCAGGACGAGAACAACGAAGCAAAACCACCGACCACAAACACCAAACAAAACAACACCGAATTAAAGGACACTTATCGGTAAAGAATATTAAATTAAGTCGGAGGGCGAGAACGAGTATTGTACGTGTGTGTAGGTGCAGCAAGTGTTGGTCGCGGAGACGCAGCAAGAGTTGTTCGTGTAGCAGGTCCCATTTGCGTCAAACATTTCCGAAGGCGATTTCGATGGACTGTGCAAGGCCGATGGCGGATAGGACTTAAAGGGGAAGTATACCCTAAAATCAAATTTTCACCAGTTGTAGTCTTCTGGGTGCTGAGTCGAATGGTCTTGGTCCGAGGAAGCTGCGACGCTCCCTTCCTACTTGAATCCCAATCGAACTCGCGCACTTCCACCGAAACTGGGTGACTGCGCCCTACTAGATGGGGATTTGTATGCAAAATGTCACTAAAAGCGCCATTTCGTTCTTATAAAAGCACGGATGACCGTGATTGGCCCATATGTTGTAGTCTTTTGGACGCTGAGTCGACTGGTTTTGGTCCGAAAAGGCTGCGATGCAGCGTTCCTCCTTTATTCCCAATCGAACATGGTTGAACAAGCGGTCACGTGCTCCTGGGTGCCCAAATCACCTGGTCACCGCGCCAGCAGGCGACAACTTTCACACCAAGGTTCAACTCGAGTTCAACTCGAGTGACAGGACTGCACCCAAAAAAGGTCAAACAGGCTAGTAAGTTGTACCCTGCAGGCACGGTGACCAGCTGACTGGTGTACGCAGGAGCACGTGACCACTTGTTCAACCATGTTCGATTGGGAATAAAGGAGGAACGCTGCGTCGCAGCTTTTTCGAACCAAAACCAGTCGACTCAGCGTCCAAAAGACTACAACATATGGGCCAATCGCGGTCATCCGTGCTTTTATAAGAACGAAATGGCGCTTTTAGTGACATTTTGCATACAAATCCCCATCTAGTAGGGCGCAGTCACCCAGTTTCGGTGGAAGTGCGCGAGTTCGATTGGGATTCAAGTAGGAAGGGAGCGTCTCAGCTTCCTCGGACCAAGACCATTCGACTCAGCACCCCGAAGACTACAACTGGTGAAAATTTGATTTTAGGGTATACTTCCCCTTTAAAAGAAGCCGAGTCATCTATCCACGTGGTTGGATGGCCTCAGTGGTTGGATGGCCTCAGCGATGTGGAATGATGGCCTTAGCGATGTGGAATGATGGCCTCAGCGATGTGGAATGATGGCCTCAGCGATGTGGATTGATGGCCTTAGCGATGTGGAATGATGGCCTCGGCGATGTGGAATGATGGCCTCAGCGATGTGGAATGATGGTCTTGGCGATGTGGAATGATGGCCTCAGCGATGTGGAATGATGGCCTCAGCGATGTGGAATGATGGCCTCAGCGATGTGGAATGATGGTCTTAGCGATGTGGAATGATGGCCTCGGTGATGTGGAATGATGGCCTGGGCGATGTGGAATGATGGTCTTAGCGATGTGGAATGATGGCCTCGGCGATGTGGAATGATGGCCTGGGCGATGTGGAATGATGGTCTTAGCGATGTGGAATGATGGCCTCAGCGATGTGGAATGATGGTTTTAGCGATGTGGAATGATGGCCTCAGCGATGTGGAATGATGGTCTTAGCGATGTGGAATGATGGCCTCAGCGATGTGGAATGATGGTCTTAGCGATGTGGAATGATGGCCTCAGCAATGTGGAATGATGGTCTTAGCGATACCATTTCCGTCAGCATCATCGCCTGGCTTTGTCACTGACCTCCATGCACCTCATAAGAAAATGAAATTCCCTGGCATGATCGAGAGAAATATATATGAATGATAGCCTAATCATGAACTACTGAGTTAGCTGAATACGTTGTTGTGACTACTATTAACTGCACCTACTAGCAATGTAAATGGTACTAACGATAAATAATTATACACGTATGTCTTCATTGCTGTGTGTGTGTATGTCTACATGTGAAGGTATAGCAATATTGCTCTGCTGGAAGTTATTGTTCCACCCATACTCATTGTACGTACTGGACAAGCAACACCAGAGCTTGCTGTTAACTGGAACAATGAGTTTCATTTGCTGGCTAAGAGGTGAGTTCAGTTTATTGTCATGCATTTTGGTGTGTATGTACATGTGCGTGTGTGTGTCTCTGTGTGTCTGTCTGTCTGTGTGTCTGTGTGTGTGTCTGTCTGTCTGTCTGTCTGTCTGTCTGTCTGTCTGTCTGTCTGTCTGTCTGTCTGTCTGTCTGTCTGTCTATATAATAGTGCATGTTATGTGTGTGCACGTGTGTGTGCGTGCATGTGTGTGTGCGTGCATGTGTGTGTGTGTGTGGGGGGGGGGGGGGGGTGGGTGTATGTGTGCTGTGAGCTATTGTGTGGTTGGGCTATCCACTGTTGTTGTGCAGTGATGGCCGAAACCGTCCGGTTGGTCAGGCCATGGCTGGACCAACTCTTTGGCCACCAACGGGTGTTAACTGCTCAGGAGGTCACGTGTACCCGCCATATCATACACAAACTGTATGAACTGAGGGGGTCACGTGTACCTGCCATATCATACACAAACTGTATGAACTGAGGAGGTGCTATGGCCGGACCGATCCAAAACTACGTCCGCCGCTCCTGTTGTGCGTTTCTAGCTGCACCTGTGATGATGCTGTGTCATCATATGCCTATCAAGCTTTTGCCCCAAACTATTTATGTGTCTGTTTGTCTGTCTGCCTGCCTGTCTGTTTGTTTGTCTGTCTGCCTGCCTGTCTGCCTGCCTGTCTGTCTGTCTGCCTGCCTGCCTGCCTGTCTGTCTGCCTGTCTGCCTGTCTGTCTGCCTGTCTGTCTGCCTGTCTGTCTGTCTGTCTGTCTGTCTGTCTGTCTGTCTGTCTGTCTGTCTGTCTGTCTGTCTGTCTTTCTCTGTCTGTATAATATGTGCACACTGCGTGTTTAGGATCAATTTTGTGTACAGCAGTCTTGCTGAGAGACTGGAGGAGTTGGAAGCATCAGCTGCTGACGTACGCATCTACGAAGTACCAGTGCTGCGCGGTCATTGCACGGTAGGTTCTCTGTTTGCTTACTCTCTTGTTTCGCCTTGTTTGGATTGAGAGATATTTTACTCGCGTACGCATGCACACATGCTTGCACGCACACCTCCTCATCTCAGACCTGCCCATCGCGGAAGCGATGATAGCGACATAAGTCTAACATAACTGTTCACTATCATCGCTTCCGCGATGGGCAGTGTCGTCGTTGTCATCGCATCGACAAGAGGTTTTTTTGTCTTTTATAAGGTTTTATTATTGCTATTGATGTAGCTCTGAGCTACTGATTAGAGCAGGAAAAAACTGGTCTCTTCTCTAAGAAGAGACATGAAGAAGACTAGAGAAAAGGTGCTTGTTGAGCAACAAAATATAAAGTTGGCAAGTTCTTGCTGGGAACGGAGCTACATTCGGATCACTGGATCCATACTAGGCTCACGCGATTCCTCAGGGGTCAGCGTGGAGGTAGAAATAGCTGTGTGTACAGCCAGTAACGGATGTGTGTATACATAGGAGAGCAAGGGAAGCGCACCACGAGCTGTAGCAGCCAGAAACGGATACATGCGCAGAAAGGGGAGCACACCGCGACATGCACGGCAGCCAGAAACGGATGCATGCATACAACGGAGAGAAAGGAGAGCACACTGCGAGCTGCAGGACAGCCAGAAATGGCTCGGTGCATACAAAAGGGAGTCGCTTGGTGCCAAAAAGGGGCACATAAATGATCACGACTGATGTTCGTGACAGGCAGGTCTGAGGTGAGGAGGTGTGCGTGCAAGCATGTGTGCATGCTTACGCGAGTGTGCATGTGTGCAAGGGGGGGGGGTGCATGGGAGGGGGTTGGGGGGGGGGGTGCATGGGAGGGGGTTGGGGGGGGGGGGGGGAGAAGGGGTGCATGGGTGGGGGTTGGAGGGGGGGGGGGGAGAGAGCAAGGGGTGCATGGGTAAATGTTTGGGTATGTACGTCTTCAATACTGTGTTCCGAATCGACATACTGTGTTCCGAATCGACATACTGTGTATTTTCAGATTGAACAGCAAGACTTTCTCAGCAAACTGGAAGCTTTACAAGAGGAAGCTATGGCAGAGGGCATGCTACGCAAGCGTGTCCAGTCCATGCACACCAGCAGAAGAGCACGGATACGCAATCGTCCTACGACTTCTACTACTAATATTAGCAGTGACAAGGTTGTGACTCATCAAGGCGCATCTATGTCCAGTACAACAGTCACATCATCAGCAGCATCATCAGCAGCATCAACATCACTATCAGCAGCAATGAGTGATGAGGCCCTGTCTGATTCACTCAACCTACTGCGCAGTTCTATCTGTGCTCGTACTCGATTCTGGAATCAGACCTTATTGGAGATCTTTCGTAGTGAACGCCATCGACGAGCACTAAACAAATCGTCCACCAAGTCCAAGGCGACTCAGCAACAGTCACAGCAGCAGCAGCCACAACAACAGCCGCTGCTTCAACGGCGTTTGTCATCCACTGAGAAGGGCAATATTGGTGATGAGGACAAGGTTAGCTCTATACTCTCTGTCTATTTTCCTCCGTGTGTGTGTGTGTGTGTGTGTGTGTGTGTGTGTGTGTGTGTGTGTGTGTGTGTGTGTGTGTCCCATATGGTGCAGTGGTATGTGCAGCGATTTCCAATCGATAGGTTGCGGGTTCGATTCCCGACGACTATGGTCACACACGTCTTTCTTCTCTTTCTCAGACTCCTCCTGACTTTTCTTTCATTCTCCTGGGTGGTTACCAACAGCCAGTGCATGCTGGAGTATGTGGTGTGATGTGTGTGTGTGGAAAAAATGAAAAAAATGAAAAGACCAAAAAGTAGGGATTCACTGGCCAGAAAAAGCCACTTCATAGCTGTGTGGTGTAGACCAGGCTGGATAGTGGCGGTCAATTCTTCAGCCTTGCAAGCTGTTGAATGGTGCAATCCCAGCACAAGCTGCTATGGCTTCTGCTGTAGCATCGCTGTCATCGCCTCCGGCAATGGGCGTCCAATGGTCCAATGGTGTGTGTGTGTGTGTGTGTGTGTGTGTGTGTGTGTGTGTGTGTGTGTGTGTGTGTGTGTGTGTGTGTGTGTGTGTGTGTGTGTGTGTGTGTGTGTGTGTGTGTGTGTGTGTGTGTGTGTGTGTTGGGGTATGCCGGAGTATGCCGTGTGATGTGTGTGCGGGAAAAAATGAAAAAGAGACCAAAAAGTAGGGATTCACTGGCCAGGAAAAGCCACTTCATAGCTGTGTGGTGTAGACCAGTAGACCAGTAGACCAGTAGACCAGTAGACCAGTAGACCAGGCTGAATAGTGGCAGTCAATCTGTCAGCCTTCAAGCTGTTGAATGGTGCAATCCCAGCACAAGTTGCTATGGCTTCTGCTGTAGCATCACTATCATCGCCTCCGGCGATGGGTGTCAAAATGGTCAAATGGTGTGTTGATGGTGGTGGTGGTGGGGGGGGGGGGGGGGGGGGGGGAGGGGCATGTGTGTGCGTAATAAATAGCATGTACTGTCGTGGACATGGAAATCCGGCCTCACGTCTAGCGGCCGCAGGGCGCTGGCCATGCAGCCGTGAGTAAGCATACGGTTGATATACACACATTATGTACTGCAGGTCGCTGGTGGCATCGGATCAACATGTGAATGGCTTCATTGCAAAACGCGCTAAACGCCAATCTCATGCATATGGCGTTTTCGGTGTCAATCGAATCAGTAGGGATCACTGCATCTGGTGGCCAAAAAGAATTCTCCAAAACGAGACATATCCCACTGAAAATCAACGTTGAAGTTGACGTTCTACTGCAAAACGCGATAAACACCACCGATGTTTTCGAGCAAAGTGCGACATATCCTATCGCGTGGGCCAGCGTGACCTGTGACAAGCCAGCGAGTGCTGGCGCAGCATGTGGCAAACATCGCGACTACAAACTGAGTCTGTGCAAAATGTCGATGTCAGAGTTCAAAGTACAGTGTTTTCGTGTTGTTGCTTTGTAGCAGCTACATCTACGTTGTCATTTCGTTCTTTTTGTATCATCTCTCTTCTTCGTAGCTGTTGTTTTTTCGCTTTCGAAACTGAAAAGGGCAGTATGCTAGAGGCGTCAGGGAGGGACGACGCTGCTGCTGGCAGTGCTGTTGCTGCTGAGCTCCTTCAGAGTTCCGAACTCAGTGAAGTCGTTGCACTTGTATTTTCTAATCTCATAATACTGATTAGTCCGGCGAACTGGTCTGGTTTTGCCCGAAAATATTGAAGAATCACCTTGCTTTGGAAAATGGATGGCTCCTGATTTTTGAGAAAGCCTGTATTTGCATACATCACCCTACTCTTCTCATCTGCTAAGTTAGATTTGACCCAAACCCACCCAGTTGTTGATCACAGAAAATCGCTCCTCCTGGAAATTGGTCAAAATGGATTTATCTCGTTTTGCAATGAAGCCCTTCATGTGCACTTCATGCAACGACGTTCTGTACCTTGCTGTACCGCACTGAGGGCGCCTGTCCCGGTCATTCGACTGGATTTCTGGATTTCTGGATTTCTGGATTTCTGGATTTCCATGCCCACCACAGTATATACTTTTAAAAACGATTTTGTCGGGGGGGGGGGGTGCGTGTATATAATTATTGTACTGAAGATGTGTGTGTGTGGGCCCGCGCGTGCGTGCGTGTGTGTGTGTGTATGCTGATGTGTACATGTAGTTTTTGATGCTGCATTTTTTTGTTTGCTGTTAATTTTCATTGTTCGTCGTCCGCTGTTCTTTTTTGTCTCTGTTGTTGTTGTTGTCGTCGTCGTTGTTGTGAACAAATTAGCCCGATCTGGCTGTAGCAACTGAGGCTGGCATTACAGCCGGTGCAATGTCACATTCAGAAGAGAATCTCAACATTAATCTCAACATGGACTATTACGCCTTGGACAGCAACAGCAGTAGACGCCCCTCTCCACATACACCATCTGAATCACCAGTCCACGCTTGTTTCTCTGCTAGTCTTATTGCACAACCAGGCGCCCAGACTTTCCAGACTTTCCAGACTTTCTCACCGTCTGACTATCAAGACAATGTACCTACTGGCGGCAGCAGCAGCAACACTTCTCCAGATGCTCCACTCCAGCAACTCCAGCATATGCCAGTTCTGTCATCATTCCTGCAACGATCCCGTAGCAGATCTGACCCGTTGATGGCACTGAATTACTCTGTTAGAAGTATGCCAAGTCCTTCTGCAGGTTAGTGCTAGCAGCCTGGGGCTGGGGGTTAGCGGCTATTTACATGTCAGCACACGAAGCACAGAAGTCATAATTATAGTTTCGACTAGGCCTTTCGTACCATTACTCTTCAAGTCGAATACAATGGTGATTAACAAGGTAGCAAGCAAGTCCTTATAACCGGCACTTTGGCGGTCAGAGCATAATTAATGGTACGAAAGGCCTAGTCGAAACTATATGGCTTCTGTGCTTCGTGTGCTG